GATTTCTTTGAGGCATTCAAAAATTACGATGAAAGTGGATCGGCCAGGAGAAGTACATGCCTTAAATATCTTGTCTTAGCAAACATGTTAACAAAGTTAGTTGTTTCGGAAATTATTTCGTTTAGTCTTTCATTCTTTCCGGTACCAATTATGCCAAAAAACAAATGTTTGTTAAAGCGGTTATGTATTATGTAAATGGAAGTATTGTTGAAGTTTTTAGAAGATTTATGACGAGTCTTATTTGTTGCTAACATATGCAAAAATCCAATCATTTGATTAGTTAATATTTCTTGGAGTAGTCGATCGACTCATTATTAATAGTGTTACGAAATCATTTATTTGCTTTTATTCCCAATTCTTTCTTCAGTTATTAGCTCTGCATGAAAGAAATGCTAGTTGATTTATAATTTTTTAAAAAATATTCAGATCAGATATAAATCCATTCGACAGTCAAGAAGCGAAACCATTTCGACACGACACAGAAATAATGGCGATGAATCGCTTGGTGGGAGCGTATCAAAATAACGATATTCGGGAATTCGAGAATATTTTGAAACAAAATCGTGAGACAATTATGGCTGATCCCTTCATTCGGGAACACATCGAGGAGCTTCTAAATAATATCCGATCACAGGTTCGAGCATTCGGATTGGTTACATTTGTGCAATTTCATTCGGTTTCATTTATTTTCCATTTGTTTTATAAATCATCATCCATTCCAAAGTGAGGATGTTGCGTTGTAATTAGATGAAATGTTCTTAGGCAGATCAATGAATTGAAGCATCAAGCTTAAAATTAAGAAGGAAATCAATTTTTAAGGTGTTACTGCAGTTAAGTCAACCCTATTCACGCATACAGTTGTCGTATCTAGCCGATGAGCTGCATATATCAGTGAAAGAAGTGGTTGTTCTATTGGTTGAATTGATATTGGACGGATCTCTATCGGCTACGATCGATGAAATTCATTCCACACTGATCGCAAATCCACCCGCACCTTCAGCCAGGTTGATGATTTTATTCTTATTCCTTGCCGTTGTTTCCTTTCGATTCTTGTATTCA